AGTCACCCTGTATATTACTGTCACGAGCAGGCATTATTATGTCTTAATATTATTAGGTTTCAAAGCAGGATCAATTTTTGCGGAGAAATAAAAAAAAATACTACCCATTGGAGCTAAACAAAAAAAATTAGCTTCATATAGGTATATATACAGGGTTATCCAAATTAAGTGTCCACCATTAGTAACTTTGTTATTAGTGAAAATACAAAGTTGTTTGAATTAGCAAACTAGTAGCATTTTTAACGCTGGTAAAAATGAGAAATAAAAAAAACAATTGAGAGTCGTTATTTTGATTTTTTTCAGTAAAATAACATTTTTTTAAATGGAAACCCCTGTATATTATATTTTTTTCTGTTAAAGCATCAAATTTTAAACAAAAAAGTTCATAATGACTTTTCCGCTAAAGTCAAAAATAAAGTCAAAATAACGATAAATATTTTTAATTATTTGCAGTATTATAATATTAAGACGGCTATGAAAACAACAAGGCGTTCGCGATTTGACAGCATTAAGATAAGCGACAAATTGTTAAACTGGACATACTCGCAACTAGAAGGCTTTGGAAAACAATGATAAAATCAAATAATGTCAAGCATTAGTGTAAATACTTGTTTATAAGCTTTATTGTGTCATTAATTTAAAGAAAAATGTTCTCCCATGAAGAAAAGTGTGATTGATATGTTAGAATGCTATTTAGTGTGCAGAAAATCCTCCTTGAGAGCAAGAGAATACTACAGTGAATTATATCCCGCTCGCATTCAACCGTATGAACGATATTTTCTGAGACTTTATCGAAAATTTAGGGGCAACGAAAATGTTTTTGCTAAAACAAGGGCAAAAAAAGAATTCATAATAAGCGAGGCCACGGAAATTGCAGTTATTGGATATTTTGAAGCTTATCGTGAGAATTCAATAGCAGATATTCTCAAGGACTCTAATTTCAGTTATGGTACTGTTCAAAGGATTTTAAAAAAATACAAATTTATTCCGTATAAGTACCGACCAGTTCAAACGCTTTTGGCAGGGGATCCAGAGAGAAGACTTGTTTTTTGCCATTGGTATCTTAGCTTCTGTCGCCAAAATGTAAATAACTTTCGTTACCTTTTATGGACAGATGAATCAAATTTTTCAAATTCTGGAATGTTTAATAGAAAAAACCACCATTATTGGTCAAGAGAAAATCTTTTGTTAGTACATCCAAGAGGCCCACAAGTCCGTTTCAGTTTCAACGTTTGGTGCGGTATAATTGGTTCAAAAATTGTTGGCCCGTTCTTTTATGAGGGAACCCTAACTGGTGAAAGATATGTGGAATTTATGTCAGAAATTCTGACTAATTTCTTAGACGAATTGGATCTTATAAGTAGACATCATCTGCATTTTCAGCAAGATGGCGCACCTGCCCACGACTCCAGAGGTACTTATCATTTTCTAAGTACTACTTTTAATGATCAGTGGATAGGAACAAATGGCCCAATACAGTGGCCTCCCAGATCACCAGATCTAAACCCACTTGATTACTTCTTGTGGGGTTACTTAAAGAACCAAATTTACAAGCGAAGGTACGATAACCTTGACGCGTTAAAGACTGCAGTTAGGGAAAAGATAACCCAGATAGATGGTAGGACCATACTTAAGACAGTTCGAGCAGTTGAAAAACGTGCCCAAAAATGTATTGAAGAACAAGGTGGTGTTTTCGAGCACCTTCTTTAAAAAAAATTGTTATTGTATTTTGTAAGATTATAAGTTGATGTTGAAAATAAAGTTTGGCGATACAATTTAATTGTTTCAGATTGGAGGCCATAACTTCAACAATTTGTAACCTAGGAGAAAAGTTATTGTAAGCTTTTTTGTTTAAAATTTGATGCTTTAACAGAAAAAAATATAATATATAGGGGTTTCCATTTAAAAAAATGTTATTTTACTGAAAAAAATCAAAATAACGACTCTCAATTGTTTTTTTTTATTTCTCATTTTTACCAGCGTTAAAAATGCTACTAGTTTGCTAATTCAAACAACTTTGTATTTTCACTAATAACAAAGTTACTAATGGTGGACACTTAATTTGGATAACCCTGTATATAAAGAGTAAATTACCCCATATTTTTGTTATATACCTTTCTCCGCATGATAATTTACTCTTTGTAGATCCTTTGGGCTTGAAGTACCACAGCAAGTGGCTATAACCGGCCGCGTGGTTGTGGTTATTTGTCGCCTTGAAAATTCTAGGTCTTCTAGCCATTTTATACTACAATGTGTAGGTTGGCTCTTGTTGTGGACTTCGTGTGTCTTTTTTTTCCTCTCCATCTTTGTTTCCTCAGGTTACACCCGTTTCCGGATGTATGGGCATGTGTCTCTACTTTTGTAGTTGCATATGTGCATTCATTTCGGGCCTGATGAAGCCAACCAGCAGAAATACGTATCGCTCGGGTTACCTATCCTATTCTGCTCAAATCCACTTTTTGCGGATTTTGCCCATTATGTTCCTATTTTTGTTATATATATATTTATATATATACAGGGTGACTTAGAAGTTGAGTCATTAATTTTCAGATAGATTGTAGAAGGAAGATAAACCAAAATATGTGTGTAAAAATAAAAAAATAATTAAAAAAAATGTGTATTTCAGTGCGGACCTGTATTTGATCGTGCGGTCTTGGAGCACCGGCATTCCCTCCCCTGTGAGGTCTTAAGTCACCTGATTCACGAGCCCTTTGTACTACATTAGGCGCGAGGGGTTGGTTGCACTCGATTGTGAAACCGATCCGCATAAATCCGTGATGCCGCGGCAGCATTTTGTAAAGATTTCGTAAACATGTGCCATTTTTTATTTCGTTTGAGCCACGCAACAAACACCACTATTCACTCACGCGTTACCGACTGACACATCGACTGAATACAACTGAATAAAATTGTACTAAAAACACCGTGATAAGCGTTTCAAATTCTTTCGCTTTTTTGTTTCCGATGCGATGAACCGATAAGGCGGATTATATCCGTTGTTGCCAAACACGAGCACATAATATTATTATTGAGACAGGGCGGTACTCAAACTTCTAAAGCGCTATAACTTTGTTACTTTAATTTTACCACAAAAATGTTAAAGGAAAAAACATTTCTTTTGATCAGATCTACTCACTGTTAAAATAAATGACTCAACTTCGAAGTCACCCTGTATATAATGTATGTATGTATGGATATATATATATATATATATATATATATATATATTATCATTTTTTATAAAATACGAATTCAATGATGTACCATATTACATTTATGTTCTTGGTTATAAGGAAAACTGCTTTTTTCCGATTTTCTTTAAGTGGTCGCAAACAAACGCTTGACGTAATACCTGTCACCAAATATTGTTATTATTGGGTATTGTTGATATTGCTTTATTATCGTCAACGGTGCTACGCGGTCATTTTAGCAATGAAGAAAAGTTTGACATGCTGACGTGCTACATTTTGTGCTACAATAATACTAAAAAAACTGCAGAAATGTACATATCTTGATAAATTTCCCGATAAAGACAGAGAATAAGTCCACTTTCTTAAAGTTGGCTCGAAATTTAAATAAATAATATGGTTCATTCAAAAAAACTGTTACAGGAATCTTTGGAGGAATAATAGTGTTTTACAAGCAGTTACTGAGAACTCTGAGATATCAACTAGGCAAATTGAGAAAAATGTAGGAGTAGCCAAATCCACAGACCAATTTATTTTGCGTAAAACATCGATATCACTCCTATAAACTCAGGATTTGCCAAGAACTTGGACCAGGGGATAGCGATTTGTGCCAGCATTATTTAGAGAGTATAGTCACTAATAGTGGTATGTTTGATCGCCGCAACACTCATTACTGGGCTCAAGAAAATCTGCGGGCTAAAAAAGTATCCAGACATCATGAAAATTTTGGGTTTAATTTGTGGTGTGGAATTCTAGTGACCAAAATATTAGGTCCATTGAGTGTAGAAAGGTATCTTCAATTGTTGCAATATGCCCTAGAAGGCTGCCTGTTGGTTTCAACAAGACGGCGCTCCTGCTCATAACTCTAGGCAAGTTCGCGAGTATCTTTCTCAGCGATTTCTCGGGAGGTGGATTGAAAAAACACTTTTTTATTTATAAAAAACAAAACAAATGTAACATGTGATACATCGTTGAATGCGTAGAAAAAGATGCTATCAGATACAGCGGGTACTTTTTTTTGATCGAATAAAGTTGATGATGGTTTCACAAAAAGGAAACGTCGGGCACAAAATTTTAAAACACCATCATAAAGTGCCTAAAAAGTGCCAATGAAAATGTCCCAATAGTTTTTTCAAATTTCTTAAAATAAAGTCAGAAAAAAAAAACGATTTGGCCAAGTTTTAATTTTTCCCAAATACCTCAGTAAGTCATGAACTTTTTTACGGCATGTAAATACACCCCTAAAAAACGCAACTTTTTCGTAATTTAACTTAAACTGCATCTCCCACAGGAAATGAGATTACCATGCGTAGGATCCTTATCTTGGAAACTGTATAGTCCAGTGTAAAATCAACTGCAAAAGTTTATTTGACAAACACTGGTGGATAAAAAGATACAGCTTGGTGAAATCAACTTCGCAAGTTAGTTTATTTCTGCAAACACGTCGAATGGAAGTATTCAATGTTGAGGTGAGGAGGACCGATCCCTTCGAAAGTAAAAACATCAATAGATGGCACTTTCGATAAACCTTGTATCTGGATAGAGCTCAGTTCTTCAGGTGTCGTTCAACGAATATGAATAATTTCAGTGGACTATCAATAAAAGATTGTTGCGATTGCCGCCGTCCCTTTCCGTATGCCGCTCCGGGCTACGCCACTGTAACCAAGGCCAGTATACTTTCAAAAAAATTAAGTGTCTTTCGAGCCATTTATAAGACATCGTTATTTCTTGGCGCATGACGTCCTGGGGAGAGTTATTTTTAAAGGGAATGTGCCGAAAAACGTTATTTCTGGTTTCTTAAATATAATTTTGGTTCATTCTTAATAGTTGGTTGAACATCAAACTTTCAGGGAAGATGGGCCACATATTTTAATGCATGAAAATCAACAAGCAAAGTTTATAATAAGCAAACAATTCCAAATAATATTTATTGATTACCCTAAACGTATAATAAATGTTGTAATTACTTTAAATACAACTTTAAAAGAACTACTAGGAGTAGTTTAAGTAGAATATACAAATGGGCAGGTTTCTTCAATCAAATAACCTAAGAATTAAATGCAAACGTAACGGAGGAAATATGTTTTTGCAAAATAAAAATCCTGATTATAGTACAGCTTAGTAAAAAATGTTTTTCATCTGAAAAAATCCTTAACCATGTATAATATTGTTAGAAGTTACAATTATGTGTAAAATATCATCCAAAAATTACATATTTTCTAAAAAAGGCAACATGGTATAGATTTCTTTTATATATATGTACATAACTGTTCAAAGGTGCAAAGAATGTATAACAAGTAGTTCGAAATCAAAAAATAAAAAGATAAATAATTCTCTGCAACTTCGACAAATACATGATTATTTACATAGAAAAAAAAAGAAGTTTTTGTATACAACTGTTGCGAGTTTTGTGTGTTGAAAATATACACGAACGAGCAGTATGAATTTTGATGTGAGTAAGCAATAATAATATACTTTGAAATTGCAATCAGTTGCATAGTAAAACTGTGTTCTGGAAGCACCAGGCCATATATTGAAGTGTAAAAAATATATATTTATTGCAAAAATATTCATCGATGTTTACTTGTACAAATTTGAAAATTCATCAAAAAATATCCTTTTGATACTCATTAGCCCGTCAACCAAAATGGCACTAACATTACATACTACAAAAACTGGAATGCGTTTTTCGATTTTAGTTGATACAAAGATGAAACAAGTAGATCATGATGAAACAGTAAATCAATTTTTGATCTATCTTATCACATCGAAGAGCATATAAGGAAAATAAAACATATATATTAGAAAAAGCTGTAATAGTACACACAATCTAGAATGTGAGTTACCGATAGCAGAATGATTATTAATCTTAATTTGGGGGATTAATGTATTATTTACTAAATAGGTCTTGTAAATACTCGTGAAAATATTCCCAGAATTCTGAAATACAAAATTGTACTGAACAATTTGTATTAAATAATTTTTTAGTGTAGGAAAAAATTGCGCAGCTATTTTTTGTTGATGTACGGAACAGAAGGTCGACAGAAAATGACAAAACTAGAAAAACCTGTGAACAGAATAATTTATCGATGAAATCAAACTGATAAAGAGTAATACATTAAATAACTTGTGGGTGACATATCAATTTTGCAACAGGAAGGGTGAAAATGGCGAGAAAACTGAACATCATAGACATGCATCAATTATTGTACTTTAGATTTGAGTTGTGTAATATTTAGATGTTCATAGTAACATTCCTTGTTTTTATGATGAAAATAAAGCTTTCTTGGAGTACAGCGTATTTTGTGAATGCAGTTATTTCTATACAAAAATTATATCTGGTAATCCATGAATTTATCCACCTAAAAAGGTTTCCCATTTGGCAGTGCTAGATTGAGTGCGCTATAACCTAAAAAAGCACAAAGTTAAAGATTTCTAAGGCCGTCTATGAGCAAAGCAACCTCTTTATATTACAACTCGAAAATTAATAATACTTAATAAGTAAAAACCAGGGAATATTTGTTATATTTTAAATAAGACTCACCATTGAGCATCATTTTATCAAATCAGTAAACCACCATCCTATTAAAACACACATATCAGTTCTGTGTAACTGAATGACAGTTTGTGGAGCAAACCACATACAATACAGGAAAAGACAAATCTGTTATCAGTGGAAAATTAATGTGAATGACATAGTAACTTTATATTTTGGGTTAAGGATTTTAGCATTAAATGCCCATTATTCCAATTATATGCTGTTATAGAAGACCTATTACAAGATAAATTAATCAGGATATATCTTTCCATGCAGCAGAATCACACTTAAATAAGGCTTAAGTAACTTTAATACTCTTCGTTTTCCCACGTATTGTCTGTGGTATGCATTTAACCGGATGGATAAGAGTATGCACGTCTATAGATGGAACATGACATATAATTACATGTTTTCGAACTGATCGACACGACGTTTGGTGTTGCCTTTGCGGATTTCTCTAAGGGTTTTGTATTTGTCGCGACCTTGACGGACGTTCTCTCGGTGGATTTTATCCATAGCGGTTTCCTTGGTTTCGTCGCGGCTTTGAGCCAAATCCTTTTTCAATGCCTGGAAATAATAAAATGAAATATTAGATCGATCCACTCAACTGCGGGTCCACGTCATTTTATATTTAGACTTTATGAATGTGTTCTGAGTTATCAACTTTCCGCCACTGTACTGCCGGAGCCCTGTTAAAATGTCGGCATACATTTTCAGATCTTGAATTTCTTTATATATTTTACAAATATGATAAAATGAGAGAAAAGTCAAAAAGAGACTCTTAGGGAAGGTAAAAAATTAAACAGATATTAAAATGACAAAATAAAAAATATGGCGTCCGCAAAACAGCTGATGGCATCCAACAACGTGATGTTATTTGATGAGCGATGTATGCGGTGTTGCCAGATAGATAACCCTTTCGAGATGAATTGTGCATCACATTTTTGTTCAAATTTAATTTTTAGGATATACATACAGTAGCGGACAAAGTTTGGAAAGAAATATTAACATTATTATGAACTATTTCATATACCCAAATTAAAATTCTGAAGGAACAGATAATACGTACTCATGCCATAAGTTCTGTCCCTCGTTTTCAAACAAGTGTAGACCTGTTAATACTTGTCCGATTGTTTACATTGTGGTGTCAGTTGATTAAGCGCTTTTCGGGTAATTACATATACCTCAGTTTGTATTGATCTCTCGAAGCATAACGATGGAGTGGGGCAAGGCAGAGAACCGTATTGCAGTGATAGCTTTACATAAGTGTAATCACAGTGCTAGTCAGATTTTTGAACTCTTACGCGGCCTTCAAATATCGCGTAAATTTGTGTCTAGGACCATTCAGCGGTACAATGAGACGTCCTCTGTTGATGACAGGCCAAGAAGCGGAAGACCTCGTCAAGTAAGGACTCCAGCAGCCATCAAAGCCGTAAAAGCCAGGATTCAAAGGAATCCACTCCGGAAGCAGAAGATCCTATCCAGGGAAATGAAGATTCCTGTCCGGACGATGTCGCGCATCATTAAACAAGACCTAGGGCTAGGGGCTTACCGGAGACGTACGGGCCAGCGACTTACGGCCACCTTGCGACACATCAGGGCGACAAGATCCAAGAAGCTCTTGGAGAGGTATGCAGCTGGGGGATTCCGAAAGATTTTGTTCACGGATGAGAAAATCTTCACCATAGATCAACCGACAAAATGACAAAGTGTATGCAAGGAGTTCACAGGAAGCTTCGGAGATCATTCCGAGAGTTGAGAGAGACCACCACCCTGCGTCAGTCATGGTTTGGTGGGGGGTGTCCTACGAAGGGGTCACTCAGCTCCATTTCTGTAAACAGGGCGTGAAAACAAAAGCGGCAAACTATCAGAGCGACATACTGGATCCTATCGTCAAGCCTTTAAGTGGTACATTGTTTGCCAACCAACACTGGGTCTACCAGCAGGATTCCGCCCCCGCTCACAAGGCTAAGAGTACGCAGCGCTGGCTGGAAAGCAATGTGCCAGAGTTCATTGCTGCGGAAGATTGGCCCTCAGGGAGTCCGGACCTCAATCCTTTAGACTACAAGTTGTTGGACCTGCTAGAGCAGTTGGCCTGCTCCAAAGCCCACCGTAATATCGAGTCCCTGAAAGCGGATTTGATCCGATCAGCGGCAGCTATTCCTTTGGAAGCTGTGCGTGCAGTGATAGATGAGTGGCCCGCGAGATTGAAGCAGTGTGTGAAGGCCAAGGGGGGACATTTTGAATAAAACTGTTTGATTATGAATTCTAAAAATGTTGTCGAATAAATAATATCTTTCATATAAATATATCTTATCTTGTTTCATTTTTATCATGAGATTATCATGGGACAGAACTTATGGCACGACTACGTATAAATATTAAAGTCTACATTTGGTTTGGTTTATCTAATCAATAGTCGAATTCGCTGAAAATAAAAACACGCTTCATATTTGTCGTATTTATTCCTTCTGCGATACTCTGATATTGCGTGCGGTAAATATATAAATCAGTAAGAAGGGCAAAAGTAAAAGAATTTTCAAAGATTTAAGAGACAAAGTAATTGAGTTATTTAGAAGTGGTGTCAGAAATGTTGACATTTCTCAAAGATAAAAAATGAACAAAGGGACGATTTCGAAAATTATTAGTAAATATCAAGAATATGGATCAACATAAATGTGGCCCAGGTGCGGAAGACCGAAAAAAACCGATCATGTTTTGGAGCGCTACATTAAACGTTTGCCCCATGAAAATCCTCGAATTACAGCCATGCAGATTTTCAAAAGAATCGCAGAAGAGGGTGCAGAGAATCTTTCTGTCAGAACAGTGCAGAGACGCTTGGTGGACTTCTTGCTTTTTGGTAGGCGTCCAGTGCAAAAGCTTTCATTAAAAAAAAAAGTATTGCTCGGCTTGAATTTGCTAAAACTCATCTAACTTGGATAGAACAATGGAATACGGTTTTATGGAGCGATGAAAGCTAATTTGACTTGTTTGGATCTGACGGTACGGCATATGTGAGACTTCCAATCGAAAAAGATTCTACAAAAAGTATCAGTTGCAGTTGTTAAGCAGGGTGGAGGCAACATCATGGTTTGGGGTTGTTTTTCTAGTTCTTGAACGGGCCCAGTTGTTAAAATTATTGGGAAAATGGATCGAAAACTTTACAAAGATATTCTTAGTGAACACATGCTCCCTTTTGTTGAAGAAGAAATGCCTTTACAATGGACATTCCAGCAATATAATGACCCCAAGCATACCTCAAAATTCGTAAAGGACTGGTTAAGACTAAAAAATGTTAATGTTGTTACAGGGCCTTCGCAATCTTCGGACCTAAGCCCTATAGAACACCTCTGGGAGCATGTTAAAAGACAACTGACTTTTAAAAATAGGAACGATTTATTCGACCATGTAAAAAATATTTGGCAAAATGTCCCAACAGACGTCTGCAAAAAATTGGTGTCTTCTATGACAGCAGATGTCACGCAGTGTTGAATGCTAAAGGCTATACTACCAAACATGAGCTAAACAGTGTTTTTTATTTTTGTAGAGTTATTGTATTTAATTTTGTAATAAACAATATGTTTTCATAGATTTTCGGTCATAAAATGGTATAAAGGCATTTTAATGCTAGTCTGTAGTACCACAGCAAACACAAATTGTCGTTTGTGACAAAAAAGTAGTCCTTAATAATAAAATAAAGAATAAAAAAATAGCACACTTTTTAAAAATTACTAAGAATGTTTCCAAACTTTTGTCCGCATTTTCATTCAATGTGTACGTGATATAGTAGAACTTATTTATGCAAGTATATCAATCATAGCCAACATTCTAATATTATTTCACGTTCTCAACAATAAGACAGCTGTTATACGTTTTTCACGGTTCTTGGCGGATCACAGTAAAGCGGTAAAGCTATATGACAACTAGCTTGTCATGAACGTGCAATTTGAGTTTACCTTTTGTTGATCTCTGATATAAAACATGGCAATGTCTGAAGATACATCTACAATGTTCACAGACTGTCTAAAATTGTAAATGAAAACAGTCCTGTTACACAATTCATGTGCGTGTGCAAGAGCAAGTAGCATAATTAAGACAATTGGGACGCAACCGCCAAAAACATTGACAATTCAGCTCAACTCTAAACTTAAATACAGCAGTTTTTATTTTTTTCTGTCAGTTTGGCAAAACTGCATAGCCGCTTCCTCGATAGATGCCGACGAGCTATCTATGAGCTAATCGCCATACCAAGGGTGGTTCAGTCACAAATCGCAGCGTTTTTATTGTAAAGCAGTAATGTAGGCCAACCCAAATGTTAATCAATACGACCTGTGGATTTCAAAGACCTTCTACGCAGTGCCCTCTCTTGTTATAACTAGTATTTTGTGATAGCGTGACTTCCATCCACATGTCATATCTGCCCGGGGAATATGTTCATAAATAACAAACATAATCACACGATTACAAAACACACAACAGTTCAAGTTACAATCCATTCTACACCAATACGACTGCTTGGTTGCCGCAAGATTCTCATCTGGTGATGACTCAGAACACATTTATACCTACTATAGCACAATCGTTAGTATCACACTGGAAATAATGAGCACCTGCCAACTAGACTTTGAGGTATAACATGAATTTTATGAACTGGTGATGAACAGCTCATTTGGTTCTATGACGTATTTAAGGCTGAGGCGTAATGCATAAGGTGTATTTCAGAATTGAGTAGCCGAAACTAGCTTAGGTATACAAGATATACAGAAGTTATACAGGGCATTCTCAATGTTACGACTTTACACAGCATAATAATTCTTGGATTCTTGGGAAAATAAGCAAATATCCGAAGCAACTCATACACCAAGGATATAAGATAGCCAGGATAGCCAGTTCCAAAAAAATTCTGCTAGACCAAGTCCAATCCGGCCTTCCAAACAGTTGTTGGCTAAAAAAGACCGTGCGAGTATTTAACACAAACGTCGTGTGTGCAGGTGTACAAATCCGATGAAAAAACTGAATGCATTCATTTTCCTGATCCTTGACATTACGCGCCGCGTCGGTATTTTCACATGATAGAAAAAACTGACCATAGTGGATGACCTAATCAAGCCCGAATGTTGCCTACGTCGTGTACTTTTTGTTTTATTTTTTCACTGCTGACTTACTGTACAGTAGCATAGTTGTTCCTAGAAGTACAGTCCTAACATGGGAGACACCCTGTGTATGTAAGATATTCAGTTTTACCAATAATCTTTTGTTCATAACAAAAAGAAATACGTGCCAGTATTTTTTATTATCAAATGATTCTATTACAATGTGCACCAACAGCGAGCATGCATTAGTTTATCAAAAAACCATGCAGTGAGCGAGCTAAGGATTATGAAACACGTTTTAAGTGTTATTCTAATAAAAATTCGGATAAGCCTAATGCAGGAGTCGCTCCATCGCTAATGTTAAAAATACTTATGGACATCAGCACAAAATTTTCAGTGTAGGTACTTATAATATTTATTTTTATGTTGTCTCCAGTGACATAGCAAATCCTACAGACTATGATAACGATGAAGATTCTTATGCATCATTTAAGCTAAGTTCCATAAGTACAATAAAATCACTATCCAAACAGAAATAGTTTATGGTAATATAATTCGCTGTCAATACGACAAATGTCCACTTTCACAATAGAATAGTGCTAGTTTCAGTTTTAACATTACAACAAATGATAATGCAAACAATCATAAACTATAGTAGTTACTATACATTCTACCATAGCATGATACCGAAACGGTAGAGCAAAACAAATTGTACGCCACTGAAAACACGGCTTTGAATATGAGGGAATCTGCGGGCACCGACTTTGCTGTAGCTTAGCAGTAGCATACGATGTGTTATGATATTCTCTTCTAATTTGGTATCAGTATAGTATTCATAAATGAATTGCACAGATTTTGGTATACAAAATGTTATTGACATAGACCACCCAAATCAGGTGATCCAATATAGACACAATTTATTGATAATGAATTTTCACATAAATATGGAGCGCTTATTTAATTTTTGAGTCAGTTGAATGTTCCGATTTTTCTGTTTGGAAGGGGATGATGAAGCACTTTTAATTAATAAAGTTACAACATCAATAAGTCATGTTACAGAAAAAAGATAGTAAATCTACCTCGTGCAATTTTTTCCTGTTTTTGCATAGTCCGCAACATATAGGACCCTGAGAAAATACAAACACGTTTCACAAATCCTTAGACCACACTAGTTGAATAATTGCAATGTTTGATAGATTATCACCTTAAAAGCGAATATGTTCAAGGATATCCTCTACGGATTGTCGCTTTTAAGAAATTTCACTTCAAGGAATCGAAAATTGTTAGTGCATTGCTCTATTTTACCATTGTTGATAAATGTTAAAAAGTTGAGAATAGTAAAATTGAAGGAATGCTTATGTCGTATTATATTCTGAGATACCAACTAAAATGAACACTTCAGACTAACGTCAACTTTCGAAAATATATAACTACACTGGATCAGCTACAATTTTATGTATTGAAAAGCACTGTCAAGGATTAGTTTTACAGAATTGCATTCAACTTAGTAAAAATACTGTTAAACAACTATTGATCTAGTCACAAGTGTTGTGTGTTTAGGTAGTATAGATGACACGGAAATTCATCATAATGTGTGATAAATGTCAAATGAGGTTAACATTTATGTTTGTGGTTGTCAAAACTCTCTATGTGATGATGGTTTTCCCGCTCAAGAAATATGACCAAATTGGCTTGTACAAGACCATTTGTGCAAGTAAGTCGCTATGTGAAAATGGAAATTGTACACTTGCTCCAGCCAAAAAGAATTGCTCGTGTAGAATCTGATCAGTCAGATAATTTGCATGAGGTTGGCGCAAATGGATGTACGTGTAAGTAGCGCTCCAACTTCACTCATGCTGCTGGCCTGCGTAATAGCTATCAAATACTCGTGTATTTAAGTGAAATTGATTTAAAATGTTAATATCTTGTAAATAGCTTGGAAGGGAGAAAACAAGAATATTTTTATATTCTCTCCGATCCATTATTTTGAAAGAAATCTAAATATATAGCATACCTGCAACTGATCTTGTAAGCGTTCATTTCTCTCCGCTAAAGTGCGCCTGTCCTCAATGGGGTCAACGATGTTCTCATCGGTGTTAAGGTCTCTGCTGACGTCACCATTGACAGTTTCATCATCTTCATTGTGCTCGTTCTCCTCTAGGTGTCCACGAGTAGCGTTGGCCAACTGCTGCACACGGAGCTCCTCCTCCTTACGTCGAGCTGCTTCAACTTCTTCTTGCAGCCGTTTGGTCTCACTGTCCTTGGCTTCAACCTAGAGCACAATGACAATATGGTCAGTGAATAGATACAAGACCTTTAGAAGTTTAGCTGCAGCATAGTTTCACAATTTTACAAAAATATAGAACTACAATACTTTTGGAGGATGTATAACCAATTAGGATGTCTAAATACACTCATCCATCTGGATTGCCTAAGCCACTGACAAGTCAAACAAGCTATGTCATATGTTTGAGATGATGTTCGAGGTCTGTAAATTAAGTGTTAAGACCGATTTTTTTATTTATTAAAATATAGTTAAAATTTCACATTGTCACCCTCAAAATAACTTCCTTCTAAAGCCACATAGTGCTGGAGACGGTTCTTCCACTCCTCGTAGCAGTTGTGGAACTCCAATACTGGAATAGCCTTTAGCTGGTCGGTTTGGATGTTTTCAGCTGTCCCAAAATCAGATCGCTTGAAGGACTCGAGTCAGGCGACTAAGCAGGCTGAGAAGCTACAGGAATCTCTTACTGGCTAAAAACTTGTTTATTAACATTGCTGTGTTTCAAGAAGCATTATCATGATGCAACACCCAGTTGTTCTTGGTGTGAGTCAAATTTAGTTCCCCAAACATTCGGACTGTCAACCAACGATCTGAGCGCACAAGATCACGGATTTTGTCGATATTTTCATCACATCTGGAAGATGAAGGCCCTTCGCTTCGTGGTTCATCTTCAATCGACTCTCTCCCTTCTGAAAATGCCTTAAATCAGCAAAAAACCTAGGATCTTGACAGAACACAATGTCTGTAGGCCTGCTGAAGTTTAGCAAGGGTTTCTGTTGAACTGTGCCCAAGTCTGAAGCAAAACCTGATAGCACACCGTTGCTCGGAATTAATTTTTTGAACACAATGGAAAAACTATTTCACAAAAAAAAATCGCTAGGGACAACCAAATGACTTGGGCGAGTTTAAACTTGTATTGAAGGCGGAATCCATGTTCCCCTGTCTCCTATCCAAGCCCGGCGCCTCGAGTGTTGCCAGATCAAACGCTACGTTGCCAGTCTCGTCACTTAATTTACAGACCTCGTATTTGATTTATTGGTATATTGAATGATCCTGTGTCGATGTAATGCCAATATTTATAATGTTTATATTTTTGCGTTGACATATTTAATTCCTAAGGTGTTAATTTAATACAAGCTGAAGTGTTTTGTAAACCTGGATATAAATATTTTTCAAACTATTCCCCATTATTTATTAACTTTGTATGTATCTGCAGCTGCATCTACCGCAAATTTCATTACAAAAAGACATAAGGTTATAAGAGAATATGTAAATAGAATGGTTGCTTTCATGAACAGTTAATTGAATGAAATGCAGTTATACTTTCTACAAAATTCAGTGGAAACTTCTACATGCATTGCAAAAAATTTCTTCCAGATGATGATGAAATCGCTGAGAAAATAAATCAAGCGAGCACAAAAACACTAATTAAAATTCTTGTAAAACATTAGCTAGGGGGAAACTTTGACCTCTACTTTATGAGGTTATCAGATGATTTATATTGCAGATACAGCCCTGAGCTACTCTCTGTTGGCAAGTTACAGAGCTAATCCCGGACGTTTTTGATACAAACATGGATCAGAAAATTGAAATTTTGAAGTCACGTAATACAAGGTGACTCAGAATTCACATTTTTTTATTTTTTGATGCCTAGCAATTTCAAGCAACGGAATTTATTTTATGAGGAAAAATCACATTATATTGGAAGAAGAGTATTCTGTATTCTGTTGGGGAAATAACAAGAAATTTAATCAGGTACTACTTGATGGAACATTCAATTTACCTCTTCCTGTATACGCGAAACCTCTGCCTGCTTGGCTCTGATTTCGTCCTCCAGTTTCTGCCTTTCAGCAGCTTCCATGTTCTTGCTCTCTTCAAGACGTTCCATCATAGCCTGCAATTCGTTCTGGCGTTTTTCCAGTTCCTCTTTGGCAGCTTGCAACTGTTTCAGCTGCTCCTCTAGCCGTCGGATCATTTCCTGGGCCTCCATTAGATTAGCTTGGCTACGTTCCATCTCCTCTTGCATGGCTATAACAATATACGTTTTAGTTAATCCATTGTTCTTGAATAACTAAATAACGACACTATGTAATTCAGCGAAATATGCGCAGCATGGAAAAATGATATTTTTGCGAAGCATCATCTTTGGGCGGGCGGTAAAGAGCCTTAAGGAAATTGGGACGCGAGGCAAAGGATACTTTTTGTCCCCCGAACACCTTGCACAAGTATGGGCGGCACTAGAATAGCACAGGCTCGCAAAATAAAAAAGTAGTGCGTGCTTGGGGTCCGACTATGTTTTTCTCATGTACTTTTTCACGGTGAATCTAAAATCAAAATTGGGGGAAAATGGACAAATATGAAAGTGATTTAAACATCAGAATTGCAAATTTGTGATCTTAATGCAGCGACCCCCAATTTTGACTTGACGTGTCCAGCAAGAAAGATGGGAAAAATATAGTGGGACGCCAAGGCCACCGAACATTAGCCAACGCATATGCAACAGAATACATTTACAATTATCAATACTGATCCTATCGATTTACACTGCAGCCGATCAACAAAATTTTTTACCAAAGTCTGTAACATGTTTTAACTATATCCCAAGAATTTTCGAGTCGCTAATTACGAATCTGTTATCATAATTACTGTATTCTCAAAATAGTGTGTATATTACGACAAAAAAAATAGGGACGACAGGTGAAGGGCAGATCTACAACTGTTTTTGAGCTATTAATTTTTTTTACTCTCTTTTTTTAATCTATCTTTTGTTGCTGTGCCTAGAAATAGGATATCTGTATGTTTTTTTTTTGCTAAATATTATATAAGATCAGGTACTAAATTTAATACAACCGTCCTGAAACAAGAACGTTTTTATCGAAACTTTTATGTTTTGTGAATCTTCGACAACTAACGGGGAACTCATGAAGATGCACTATTTTATCAGTCGAATGCTTCGTGTAATGTTACTGAAATGATGGAAAGTGCCTAATACACTTTTGACATAAAAATATATGTCTCTTGACTTCACATAAGACTGTCCTCTCAACACTCGACATTCGGAATGTCAAAAGTTTGTACTATTTTCTTCAGTAAATGCAAAATATTGTTTTATATTAAAGTACAAATGTGTTTAACAAGTGCTTACCATTTTCAGTTTTAATACCTTCAAGAAAATTCCGATTCCGCGAGAATCCAAGTAAGTATTCTAATAGATTTTTAAGATGCTCGTATATCGATTTAAACGGAACGAAAACTTCCATTTTGCAGAAATGTTATAACCTTGAGGTTAACTCATAATTTGAATTGGTTATCACTGGACATTTTTTTCATTATGTCTGATGTTAAATTTTAACAATGGTGTATATAACAATGCGGTTTTATTATTAGATAAGATCCATCTTATCTGAATAATCCTCTTTGTAAGAACTATTACTCGTCTCCTCTAAATATATGATGTAATGACTGGATAAACTATACAAAAAATGCTAATCTATAAAACATGCAGCAAGTATTAATATCCACAGACAACGGGAATAAAAAATATAATAATATTTTAACTTTAACACTTTAACTGCGATATAAAAACAATGAAAAAAACTCTTCCATTCCATTGAGCCTACTAACAGAGCTAAAAGATATGCTTTTATCCCTTTTTGTTCTTCAATTTGCTGCCCTCATTATTTTTAGGTAGTTAGCAAAAATGTAAAAAGAACCTGTCAGGTAATATCTATTTGCTTACGAGTGCTGGAACTGCACTTTGATATGGAGAAAGATAGAAATAATAGACTGACAAAAGTAAGTGAAATAATGGGTGATATGCATAAAGGCGAGTGGCTACTTTTGACTCGCATTTTTAAAGTAGCCACTCCATTTGATATGCATAAAAATGTAAGTAGAAGCTCACACTCATAAGTTTCTACTCTTTCCGTGAGGCTGTACTCGCTCCTTGAGTGCCGACTTCAATTTTTATATGCATAAAAGTGAGCGTCCACTCTTACCGCTGAGTGCATACTTAAAGAAATGCGAGATACCTTAGTAGTAGACTCAGCTTTATAAGAAGTGAACGAAATGGCCGAATTTATGCCTACTTATCAGCCTACGAAGGTGTTTAAAGATCGTAGGGAATTAAAGGAAGTAGACTATCGGGCCTTATATCGGTTTAGTAAAGTTAATGTTGAGTGGATAAGTAACCATTTTCTTGGAGAGACAGAAGAATATAGGGGCGGTGCTTTGAGCAATATAGAAAGAATGAGGGTTTTTTTACGATATGTGGGTGATCCAGGATTTCAAATTGGCATAGGAGAAGCTATTGGTGTCCATCAATCTACGGCATCCCGTACCGTCTCCAACGTTATAACACGCATTGTGCGGAAGTCGAGCATTTGGATTAGATTCCCAACCACATGTGAAGATCTACACAATGCTAAAAATGAGTGGCAAGAAAAGTTCAATTTTCCTTCAGCTATTGGTGCTATAGACTGCACCCATATACCTATTCTGAACCCGTTTATTCATGCAAACGAATATGTGAACAGAAAGAACTTTGCTAGTATAAATGTACAAGCAACGTGCAATTCAAACGAAGAGTTCACAAGTGTGGATGTTTCTTGGCCAGGATCTGTACACGACTCTCGGATATGGAAGAATTCTGATATATGAAATGGAATAGGGCTAGTGCTATTTTGTTGGGAGACTCTGGGTATGTTATAGCTCTTTGGCTCATGACTCCTTTTAGGATTGCAGAAACAGCAGAACAAAGATCATACAATCGGCTGTTTACGAGTGAGCGAGTTATAATAGAGATATGTTTCGGGCAACTAAAACAGCGATTTCCCATTCCACATAACAAAATACGCGTCGATATAGAAAAAGTGCCCTCCCTTGTCATGAGTTGTTTTATCTTGCATAATGTGGCTAAGCACCTTAATGATGAAGATTTTGCTGTTGATATACCGGGAGATGGCGAACAAGAAGAAATCCATAATCAACATGGTGCTGACTATGCAGATGGAGTGATACGTCAGAGAGGTCAATTTAGAAGAGATGCAATATCAAAAATTATTCATGGCTATCGGGTCTAAGTAAGTATCTAGCATGATCCAAATTTACAAATTATGTAGATATTCGTTGAAGAACGATGTTTAATTACTCATAACAAAATTAATAACACTTTCAAAATGGCAACTTAAGAGAAAGTTCTTAAAATTAATAAAAAATAACATTTATGAAACATGAAGTAGTTTTGTCAGTTCTGTCCTGGAAATAGGCTCATGAAAATTGGATTGCCAGTTTCTGCACTTTCATTTAAAGTTGATAAATTTGGATCAGATTCATTAATATTTTTCTTGTGAAGTAGCAGTTCCTTAGCTAGCCGAAACACTTGTATTTGTTCAAGTAAAACGAGACGTTGGAGCTCTGTTATTGATAAATCTCGTGCTTCATCAGTTTCCACTAATCCGTTTTCCTTTTTTTTAGAAGGCTCCTTACTGGGTCCGGCTTTCATTGTGGTAGCTTTCAGTACTGGTCCTGAACTTCCAGATGCTTCTTCGGTGATTGTTTCTTCTTCAGCACAGGCTGTTGGAGTGTAATCAATGCTTTTTTGTGGGCAACCTGCCACAACAGCACCCACAATTTAAAATATATGCTATTTATATTTATTGAGATGTATATATATATATATATTATACTCAATCACATCTTATACCTACTGTATGGAAAAACAAAAAAATACAACTAACATTGCAATCGAGCAATACTAGGATTTGGTTCTCCTTGTAGACAATTGAACAGTTCTTGTTCCCATCCTTTCAATTTTATTGGTTTGTTTCCGGTTTGATATCTGTATGTCTTCGCTTTTAATCTGGTTTTTATGTTTTGAATCTTCTTACAAATCTGCCCTTCGTTATAATTAACTCCTAATTCGGCTTCTACCTTTACTTTTATTTCTTCAGCCGCCTTACGTCGTTTATTTTTGATTTCCGGGATGTTAGATTTTTCCAACAAAACAGGATACTGTTCAATTATATTAACAAATACTGTTTGATTTTCAGATGAATGGTCTTCAGAATAGGTATAATCGACCTAAACACCACCGACACAAACGTTTACCGGTATACAGTAGTAACTGCTCGCAATAGAGAAATTGCCAATTCGACGAGACAACAAAATACAAGTCGGAACTCGAAAACCAGAGTGCGTACTCAAGTATTTCATTAGCACTTGAGTAGCCTCTCCGTTTCTCGACAAATATTTTATGCATATCAAAACCGAGTATGCTCTCCCTAACAGGAGTAGTTACTCGCTACAATATGGAGTAGCTACTTCTGAGAACCCACTCGCCTTTATGCATATCACCCAATGTAAGATGCTAAAATAATAGTGCCAGTCAAACGAAGTTAGCGGATCTTTGCTGATACTTCTATTTTGTCTCTTCCTACCGATGTACTAATTTTTTCAATCCACAAGTATTTCTGTGCCATTTTCCATACAATTTGAGCAGACTATAATAAGGTAGCTAGTTGATAAGGAATAAAACAGTTGCGTTATCTAACAACTAGGGATGCACCTAGTACTACTTTTTACAAAATGTTGAACTGATGTACTCCGAGTTATACAGCTACTGTTCGTGATATCAGGATTATATTTGCGTTTTGAAAGGTCCTTTATTCTCGAATTTGATTTACTTTTCCAAGCATGGCTAAAAACAGTTATGCAGCTCAGTCAGTTTTTTGCAAGTATATTGTTATAGATTCGCGTATTTATGGTATTTTCAAATGTTTTGTTTTTTAAATGTAACAGCGTATATTTTTTTACTGTTGAATTCAGCAGAGCTTTGAAACCATATTTTCAGACATTTTTGGAGCATTAATTTTTGATATACTTTTTAATTCTGATACAAGTAAAACACATATATGCAATACATTCATAAGATACTGACAATCACACAGCTCCTGGTTGTTGTGGCTGACCAATTCTAATTTGGGAAGTACCAAACCAAAATTATCCTTACATTCGAGTAAGCGTTTTCTTTGCAGAAATGCAAAATATCCGTTGTTTATGTTACTTTTTGACTTTTGCTGAATTTTTTTACTTTGCTTTGTAGTTTGTGATGTTTTGGAGTGTTCATATAATAGGTAAAAGCAAATAAAAATGCAAAAAGCAACAATGTGGCCTCAGTCAAAAGTGAGATGGTGGTTCAATGGACTGTATTTTTAATGAAAAAACATGTAGTAGTAACACATAGATAAAAAAGCCACGCAAATACTGTAAATACGCTAGCTTACTGGTAAATATGGCCGACATTTACTAAAAATCCTCCAATTCAGGTCACTGATTCAGCAAAAATATGCTGGAATCTTTGCCATTTCTTTGGTGGTGACAATGTCTTAGAGGATAAGTCAGAAAGTTGTAGGAAAATCGCATGAGCTCACGTTTTGCACATCATAAAAGCAATTCTCTGATTTACACAAGCTGTGTTCAGTCCGAGTAATTACACAGGCGAGTAATTCAATACTCGGCGAAGTCGGGTACTCGGTAAAATGAGCATGCAAGTACAGGGGTATAAACCCAGCACTCATTGTATCCCTACTAACATCATTAATTTAAATGACTTCTTTATTATTTTTGCATCTTACTTGGCCAGACTTATTTTTGTTAGTTTGTCTGTTGCCTATTCCTACGTAAAGAAGTAAAATACTAACGTTTTAAGCGGACATCATACAAATCAGTATGCTTTTTTCGTATATAATAATAAGTTCAATAACAAACCACTACACTGGCAGCATTCAGTCAACAATTTTAGCGGCATGTAAAGTAGTTAGAGTGTTTAATTCAGAAGAAGACTAAGAACTAGGAGGCAGATGAACCAGAACTTTATGATAATATCTATAAAGAATACAGCAGAATTAAATAGAACAACTCTGAAATCATGACAACATATACTTTATATCTTTTGAAATACTATTAATTCGAAATCTTTACCTTTAATACGGTCTTCATATTCCTGCTGTTTCTTCTCAGCTCTTTCTCTCGCTGCAATTTCATACTGTAGTTTTTCCCTCTGCTGTTGTTTCGCTAATTTTTCTTCGCGCGCTTGGGCTTTCATTTGTTGTACATCTATTGTATCTGGCTTGCGTCTAAAAAGTATACAAATGATTAACTTTATATGCAGATAATAGTACATCCATGTAGTCATATCTAACTTAAATGCGATAAACGCCTTTAATATTACCAAATACTTTACAATCTACGCAGAATTTAATTATTACAAAATTATTTAGTAAATAGAAGTCAAAAAACTAAAGTTGTAAATATTATGTCAAGGGTTCAAAATATATCAGTAGGGGTGCCACAGGGGAGTAAATTAGGGCCGCTACTATTTATTATTTATATAAATGATATCTCTGACATTTTAGAACACTGCAAAATTCAAATATTTGCGGACGATACACCTATATATATATATATATATATATATATATATATAAATACAGGGTGGCGCATCGAAAACGAAACAGACGCATTTATTGGCAGCTCAGTTTTTTTTTTGAAAAACGCTCAGACCAGTCGATTTTGTTTTCGAGGGGGACTCAAGTTTGGCAAAAAATCCCTAAGCGGGGGTGACACCACCCCCAAAATCTTAAATGGAAAGGGGGGTCGAGTGATACCTTATTTTAAAGGGCTTTCAATTCCCTTTATAATGATATAAAATTAATGTACGTCAGTTCAGTGGTTTTAAAGATTTATTGATTTGAAGCTTAAATAAAACTAATACATCATCATTAGTGGAGATCAATACATTTGGCAGCAATGTAATTTAAAAATGAAGAATGAACTGACCCGTTAGGCAAGTAAATGTTGAAAATGGCCACCATGTCTCTCCATGCAATAATAAAGATTTTGCTCAAAACGTTGCCGCACATTTTGCAATATTTGAGGAGTAATTTGAAGGCACTCATTCACAATTCTTTGTCGCAGGTCTTCTAATGATGTTGGCTGAGTAGCATAGATTTTGCTTTTTAAATGACCCCACATAAAGAAATCCAAAGGTGATAAATCTGGCGATCTTGGGGGCCATTCAATGCCACCTCTTCTACCAATCCATCGATCTGGAAACGTCTGATCTAAATATTGTCGAACACGTAATGCGTAATGTGGTGGTTGGAACATCAACCTATTCTGCAATGTACCGCTGATCATTCTGATTTTCAATTATGGCTGTTAATGCAGGATCTATGGCGTCTTCCAGTAATTCCAAATACATTTCACCGGTCTAATTTCCAGGTAAGAAAAAAGGACCAACTAAATCATTGATTCCCAAAGAGGTCTATATCGACCCCTAGGGGTCTATGACAACCTGCAAGGGGTCTACGTCAGCGAAAAAAAATTTGGGGGTCCATGAAATGAATATGGGGGTTCACGATAGTGGATCTCAACACATATACTGATAGTACCTATTTACTTACATCATACTATCTTATAATATCAAAACATATACATTATTTATGAAAGTACCTATGAAGTAAAAAATTTATTATATATGTTTATAAAATTGTGTAAGTTGTAGGATGGTATTCGCTTTGTGGTCGCAATACATTTTGAACTTGTAAAAACCTGAGAGAGACTTGTTCAATTCGTCACTCTATAAATACGAATGTGGGACAAATACGTTTATTCATTTCCTGAATCTTGAAAAGGAAAGTGCTAAGAAAATATTTTAAAAGATATAAACAGATAGTATATCACACAAATTATAGTGAGTCAGTGTTATTTTGTTTGAGAGTGCCGGAGAAAAGTAAGTACATTATTTTTTATTAAATTTTAGTTTTGTACTCGTAGTTAGCAAAGATGGATAAATTACGCCAATCATGACTTTAGTTATTAGTAGTTAAATATTCAATCATGCAAAATTACACGAGTACTCCTCAATAGTTTCTTTTTGAAAGTTTTAGCAATCGGTAATATAATTACAGTGCAATCTCCGTAATTCGAGCTAATTGTTGCAAGAAGATGTTCGAATTGTGGAATGTTTTCGGAAAAATCAAAAAATATTTTTAATATACAGCTGCTGGATTTTCTGTCTTATTTAAATAATTTAATTTTGCCCACAGATGACTGATGCCATGTCCGAATCTAAAAAGAAATGTAGACAGTACAGTGTTGATTATTTGAAATTTGGCTTCATTCCATCATTTCCGGAAAAACAATCGCCTATGTGCCTTTTATGCAACAAAGTTTTGGGCAATGACGCTATGAAACCATCTAAACTGCAAGATCATCTGAGAAGATGCCACCCTGATAAAACAGAGAGATTTGAAATACTTTCAAACACTCAACGATAGATTTCAGAAGAGACCTACACTGGACAGAATGTTCGCGACGTCACAAAGAAATGATGATGGTTTGCGGCCGTCTTACAATATCTCTTTACTTATAGCAAAATCCGGAAAACCGCATACTATCGGAGAGAAGTTAATTTTGCCAGCCGTTGAAGAGGTTTTAAAAACTGTTTTACACAAACCTGCAACTGACATCATGAAGAATTAAGAATTCCCTTAAGCAACAAAACTGTTGAAAGACGTATTGATGAAATTAGTTCTGATATTGAAAGCTACTTATGTAATTATTTGCAAAGGACCCATTTCTCTATACAACTGGACGAGTCAACTTTACCTGATAATGCAGCATTATTATTGGCATATGTTTATTTTATTATGAATCAAGGAATCTACGACGAACTGCTCTTCGCAAGAACTTTGATAACCGACACTAAAGGTGAATCAATATTTCATGTTTTGAAGGATTACTTTATTGAAAAAGCAATTCCTTTATCAAATATAATATCAGTAGCTACAGATGGAGCACCTGCCATGGTTGGACGTTATCACGGATTTATAAGCTATTTAAAACAAAATGTGTCAGGGGTGTTAGCAATACATTGCGTCGTCCATCGACAACATTTAGTTGCTAAAAATTTGAGTGTTAGATTGCATGAATCACTTCATTTAGTCATTGATGCAGTAAACCGAATCCGAAGCAACGCGTTGAATACGCGGTTATTTGCCCAGTTGTGTGAAGAAAATGACGAACACTTTCATCAATTACTCCTTCACACTGTAGTACGCTGGCTGTCGAAAGGCTTATGTTTGTCAAGATTTTTTGCACTTTTTGAGACTATCTTAGAATTTCTGGATACTAAAAATAAAAATTTAAAAGAAAATCTAATGACGAGGAAAACAGACATCGCCTATTTAACAGATTTGTTTACAAAATTGAATATGGTTATTTGCAATTACAAGGCGACAGTTTAAATTTGATTAAAGCAAAGTCCATCTTATCAGCGTTTCTTGCCAGAGTTAAACTAATGAAGCAAAATATTGGACGGGGCGAATTTTCTCAGTTCCCCAATTTGTCACAGACAAGCTGCCAGGGAGACGACGTTTCAACTTTTAAATGCCCTCTATTCAGATTTTGAATCTAGGTTTGAGGATATTTTGACTATGGTAATACCACCGTGGATAATTAATCCATATGGTTACATAGAAGAAACGAATGTCATAATACAAGAGGAACTGACTGAACTAAGTACAAACGGAGAACTTAAGGTTCAGTTTAAAAACGGATATCAGCAATTCTGGCTGCAAAACAACATACCCGTTACTTGTCCCGTATTATGGAATATAGCGAGGAAATTTTTAATTGACGCCAAATGTTGATAATTTATTATTAAAGCATCAGGTTCATCCTTCTCAATAAAAATATTGACTTATTGCTTATGTTATTTTATTTATAGTTTATTTTATGTTTATTGGTGTCTGACCAATAAATGCCCGCATTGGGAATAAGTGCCCGCATTGGGAATAAGTGCCTGCATTGATTTTTTTAAAGAACCCCCCTTTATAGAAAATATTTTTTTTTAATTATTCTGAAAATTCAAGGATATGTACACACTAAAATTCGTAAATTTTTAGATAACTTAAACGTATAACAAGCAGAATTTAATCAAACTAACAATGACATTATTGTAGAACATACGTTTATGTTATAATTAATAAACGAACTCGCTTATTGTAATATTTTAAGTAAAAAACTTTTTTTTTATTATTTTTCACTTTTTTTTATTTTAAGTTAAGTTAAGGAATCTCCATAATCGTGCATCTTCGCATGCCCCACATTCACATAACCGTGCGTCATGCTGAAGATAAGAGTGGAAGGGAAGGGCACGATTGTGAACATCCCTTTCCAGCCAGTCATCTACAAGGCAAGGTACTGACAGTTATAGTAGGACTCTCAATGTGTATCGATTAAGGCCTAATTATACAAAAAGATCAACTAACCTGCGCATATATAATTCGTGGTTGCCCATACATAATGCCAAAATACGTTTGTTGATGCGAACACGCGGAGCAAAGAACACAAAGTCTGGTGCTTTTTTGTCGATCGGTTTTATGATGAATTTGCGGTCGTTGAATGATATGTTACGGATCTCCGACCATGGAAAACCGATTTTTGGCGTCAATCTGAAAAAAGTACAAATCATTAGAGTTAAATAACAGTTTAATTGTAATGAATAGTCTAGGTACACCACTATATAATTCGTATAAATATAAACGTAAAGATTCTTTCAGTTTCATTATCACATTATGTGCAGATGACAAATATGTGTAATCAAAATACCACGCACGCATGTACCACTAACAAAAAAAAAACAGGAACTAAACAAGACTATCAGTTAGGTAAGAGTAAATCAACCAGTTACAGGATACTTTCCTCAGAAATGAATGACGAACACATCAATTACCATGTGAAAATGTCCTCAAGTGCCTAAGTCTAATTTCTATATATGTACTGGTACCTATTAGGAATTATCCAATGGTCATGTTTAACACAGTTCAAAAAAAAAAACATGACCAAAAACGTAAGATATGACACCATAAAAAACTAAGAAAACAACACACTATACTTCAAAATGAATGGGAAGCAACTATGGAAACATGCAAAAATAAAGTTTGATTTTTTTTATGAAAAATATGGTTATGAGGTTACGCTCAAAATGATCACGAAATTTGAACATTTTTGACGTATTTTGTTTTCTGCTCATAAATTCCAATTTCAGCGCACTTAATACCTATTATAGATGGCACAATATATATCATTTCATTAAGCTCGGTGCAATCGTTTCTGAGATCATGCAGTTGCAGAAACAGCTGTGCAAGCCGACATAAATGAATGAACTTGAATCTGTCTTCGAGCGTGGAAATTGATAGAAATATAAGTGGTTCAGGAAAAACCACCATTTTGGAAAAAATTATCTGTGCTGTATGTATTATTTTGATATACTTACTGATCATCTTTTTCGTAAATGTTCAAACCCAAGGCATCAACACCAAGGTACAGTTCAGTACCTTTCTTGTTACGAATTTCGAAGTAGTTCACCCCGTACATTTCGAGGTCCTGAGCTATCTTGAGGTATTCCATCATGGCGTCTTCTCGAAGCATACCCCTATGCTCCTTCCACCATGTCATTATGCTATTCTCCCATTCCTCTTTTGTCATCTTGTGTTGATCCATTACTCTGTAAATAAGTATGATATGGTTAGCAAGTATTTTTTCATGATAATTCCAATGAGCGACTATCAAAAAATGTCGAAAAAGTTTCAAGTGCCATGATTGTATGCAATCTCATCTCCTGATGATCTGTCATAATAAATAAAAGTTTATCAGAAGATTCAATTTCAATTTGTCACATATTATCTAAGCTTGTGAATATGTTAAGCAATTTAGAAGCAGCAGGATATGTTAAATTGTAGAATATTTTCCATAAACGTTTATAATCCAGGCATGTTATCATCAGTGAAACAAGCTGTTTATAAATGTCAACAAGAAACATTTTCCCCAAAAGTTCTAGATTTATTATGACATTTTTTCTATTTTTTTCATCAAATTTCTAGGAGGAACACAAAAATAATAACTCTATCGCAAATATTTTAACGCAATTTGCCCCAAGTTACCAAATATATGATATGACATTATCCTTTTTTCAAATATGTGAACATCACGCATTGATCGAAACAGCTCCCATCGAACGAAGCAAGTGTGGTTTATCTCTTATAAACATCATGATACATGATATGTGATGTAACACCACTATACAACTGTTTTTGTGATAATATAGCAATTGAAAAATTATAGATATTGCTAGCCAAATATTTAGATACGTAGACTGTAAATCTATTGTGGTTTATGATGCAGCAATTAGTAGTGAATTAAAAAATAGAATATTGTTATTTGATTGACTATAAGTAGTTTACACCGCCTTGGATTAAAATGAGGTGTACCACAGGATAACTTTCATAGAAATTTAAAATCATTCTTAACCCTAAGTTTAATAACCACCTCAAAAAAAGAACACATTCAACACTAAACGGGATCATATGCATGTGTTATAAGACACCAATTTTAGGGCAACCCGAGGTAATATTTATACTTTTCTTTAAACCGAAGCGGTGCAAAATCAAGTAAATGTTTCACACTTGTTCACAAAAGAAAAAACGTCGCATACCTTCTGCTGAGCGAACATTGTAATCGTGAAGTGCTACGAGAAAATATATAATACATGACAGATGTTTACAATTAAATTTATACGTCGAAAATATCTTGTACATGTGGGAGTGGAAAAATATTTCAGCTTTTGTTACGTCCTATAATATTGAACTAGAAAAACAAAAAGAATAAAATGATATTGAAACAGTCTTGGTCAGACATTGATCTTTTTTCTGATACAATTTTGTATATGGGCAGTTTTGACGAAGGTATTTCGAACAAGGATGATTCTCAAAGTTTTCGAAAAGATAGAAATAAGGAATCGGTATCGAAAATGCATTAGTAAGCTAGTAGTGTAGGTTCCATCATTAAAGTGTATGAGTAATAACACGAGTTACAAATACAGGAGTATTTTTAATGGCGATTTTGAATTTCATGGCTCCAGTGCCCAGCTCCAGTCCAGATGATTGTAGTCCAACACCTGAACATATGTCGCAAATAATGAACCTTATGGTTAGTCCACACTGTTTGATATATTGAGGTTTCTCGGTTTAACCGTAATTTAAAAAATCATGAGAGAAACAATAAGAAAGTAGGCAAAGAAAACCTTCCGGCAACATGTGATGATCGATGAAATATGCAAAGTTCAAATGACTGATCTTTGATACTGTAATTAGTGAAATTCCTCTCATAACTTTCCCGCACATGTCACGTACGGTTATAGAATAGAACAAGTACTGGCTTCTCATCTAAGACAATCTCAAGCACAGCTGGCTACTTACGATACTTTTCATATGTATTCACAGTAATTGAAATACAGGGTGTAAACGTTATGATAGCCATTATTTAAATGGGATAGAGGGGGCTTAAAAGAAGCATAAAGTTTGATATTACATGGGGGTCAAAACGGCATTTTTTTAGAGAAAAGCGACTCAAAGTAAAATAAAATCTGACAACGCCGCAATGCCATACGCAAATCACGAGGGAACGCAGTGTAAATAAAGATGGAGTTTGTTATTTTTGGCTCTTAGGTATTATTTCATTATTTGATAATGTACTCGTAAAATGCAAACAGTTAAAAAAACGGACTTACCACTAACTGTCTCAGCACTTCACCTGGTGTGTGAAAGTTTATTGAACGTATTAAAAAAATCCCCTTATAAATAGGGAACACAATTTTGGTACATACATTGTTTTTCTTTTTAAAACCCACACAGCACTTTTTTTTGTATTTAAAGAAGGTGTTCAAAATGTCGTCCTCCACATTCCACACAAGCTTCATTGCGACGAACCCAGTTTCTTCTTACTCTAGGTTCTCGAAGTTGTCCATTTATTATTTCAGCCGCATTAAAATTTTTTTGGCGAAGTTGTGCTTTAGTTGTTATTGGACCAGCCCCATAAACCATCCCTTTAAGTTCTTCCCCAATACCAGAAATCCATCGGATTGAGGTCAGGAGATCTTGCTGGCCATTTTCGAGGATCAGGAGCATTTCGACCGATCCAGCGATTTGGATAATGTTCATTCAAATACTGAATGACGCCTCTGAAAATGTGTGGTGGTCCCCGTCATGAACAAACCACAAATTCTGCCTCCGTTGTAATGGAATGTTGTCTAAGGTCTGTTCCAAAACTTTTTTTTTACAAGACCACTTTTTGATTCCAACATGATGCTTTTGTACAGAAAAAACAGGACAACTTTCATGTATTTTGATATATGTTATAGGTTTACATTTAACAATCCGTTATCCCCCTAGCGAATGGGAATGCGTCAAATAATAGGTCGATTTTCTAGCTGTTAAATTTAACAGCAGATTTGGACTTTTGTTAATGCATGGCACTCTCGAATTTACCAACTTCAATATACTGAAAGTTATCATTACATACCTGTTGAAGAGTGTGGATTTGTCTGTATTTTGCATGAAAATAGAATATAAAATACATTCCATCCAATTCCTCATCTTCCTTTACATCATAATAGTAATCATTTATTAATTTATGGGTTAATGAATTTCTTCAAAGCAATAAAAACATTATGTCGTCTCCATCCTAAAACACAGATAATATGTGTAAGACGTGTCAATCCCTACATCTCCCTGATGCATAATGCAATTACTATGGACATAGACAAAAAATTATGAAAAATGTTTCACAAATAATGTCTTTTGAAGTCCAAAAAACCATAAAAACTAGTAATGTTTTTCTTTTTGACTGGCGGGGATATCTATCTGTCACTCGCAGGGTTGCCAAGTCTAACGACGATCACGTCCCGTGGTGGAGGGTGTGAAATGAATCTTTTACATTTGCTAGTTTTGAATTTTTTTCGTGAAAATTTACTAGGTATCATGATTATAAGCCTCTTTGGTAGATTGTTCGATCCGGAATGGGAAAGATCTCCTATTTATGAAAATATTTTTGGTATCATCTAACCGTTTCAATCAGTACACAAACACTGTGACATAACCGGCTGCCCTATCAATACAAATTTAACATATAAGTCGCCTAGCCGTGGGGATGCAGTGGTCGGGATGAATATCACGGCAGCAACTGATGATTTGGGCATGTCTGGTAACAACGTATGAAGTGAAACTCGCTAACTTCACAAATCTGAAGATTATTTACAATTTCTTTGAAAATGATGAAAGATACATATGTCTTATTTGGCAGGGTAATGGTGCAGCCTAATGGCAGTCACTCTTTCTGACACAGTCCGGATTGAAAGATATAGATATAGATATCACATATCAACTGAAGAAAATAATATAAACATGAATAAAAAATCAACAATAGTAATTAAAACATTAATTTAATTCAAAAATCAAACATTTCTTAAAATTTTGACTGAATTATATGTAACTTCTTAATATTCAATAAGCTGGTGATGTCTCAATGACAAGTTGCCATCTCATACTTTGACAGTATTTTGTTTTCAACATTTCATAGCTATTGGTTGCTAAAATTTGTTGATTGGAACTTGAAGCTCATTTGCTGTACCTGACGGTCTGTTACCCTATAGGTTCAGAATAACGGACTGTTGTTGGTGAAATTGGCCCTTAAAGTTGTAAACTATAAAGCAATTTAGACAAAAATCTATTTACTTTTGGACCATGGGTCATATGAACTTTTTGACTTGTTTTGACCCCCCTATTACCCATTTCAATAATGACTACCATAACGTTTACACCCTGTATTATTAAAAGATATCTTTTATTTATTAAGTCTGAGAAACTGCAAATCTGTAAAATGGTAAAATAATTCAGGAATTTCCAGTGATGTCTTATCCAAAGGAATCCCCTATAATAGGGATGACCATTTTTTGGGAAAATGTGTAAAACGATGCATAAGTACCTCATAATATAGTCCAAACGTTTGTTAATGTTTTTTTATACACCGAAGCAGCCGCGCAGGCAGAAGCCTAAATACCAGGATACCGCAGCTGCTACGAGAATCCCAAATAAAATTTGTTAATTCGATTTTTGAACTGGCTAAGGTTCGTAGAACTGAAAAAAGCTTCCTCTTGTAGATTGTTTCACAATCTCGAAACCCTCGCGAAAAAGGAGCGGTTGTACACCTATAGCTAGATCGCCAATCCTCGAAAAGTGCATACTGCTTAGCCCTAAACCAATAACCTAGCCTTTTCTCAGCAGCTGCCGCAATTGATGAGACGTGTTCGTGCCAGATTAAGTCCTCGGTGATCTGGACTCCGACCAGCCGAAATGAACAGCTCTTTGGCAGAACTCGGCCATCTATCGAAACCGGATGAGTGCCAGGACGCTTTCTGTTCGCCAAGGTACAGTCCTGTGTTTTGGAAGCATTAAACTGTACAAGATTTTAATAAAAACGGCGTATTTTAAATTCAATTTCAAATCTCGTTCCAAAACGCCGGTTGTCACACGACCTATGTGACATCACACGTTCGCAAACACTGTGATAGATCAGGTGATTTAAAAGATTTTTAGTATTTCTTTCTGATAAAAGATGAGTTCCAAGTTTTCCAAGTGTTGTGCGATGCTTTAAGGTCCAAATACTTTAATTAAAACCCGAAATGTTATTTATTCACATTCCACGTACGGAAAATAGAAGAAAAAAGTGGCTCCATCTAGCCTACAGGGGTCCATTCCAAAATGTATTTTTGTGGAGATCAGTTGGATGTAAGTTTTAATGTATTTATGTATTATGTATTTTTTATAGGTATTTAAAGTGCGAATTTGTAAAGACAAAAAATGATTGGTCAAATTCTAGCTTGTCTTCAGCAGCCCTATTTTTTCTCCGTCACAGTGGACGGAATTTATGTATTGCAGATTATAAAAATGGTGTTAACAAAAGTGGCAAATGTGAAAGTGAGATTTTGCAGGTTTGACTGAAAGTTTACCATATTTTTATAACTTATCTACTTGCCATACTAACGATGTTTTCTCCGGAGAAATTCTGTTTAGAGACTATCATTATTGGCAACTGGCATCAAAGTTAACATATTTGATTATTTTATATCCAAATCATGAAGTGAAAAAGATATTTTAAATATTTAAACTTCCTATCTTTTATAAATTATCATTTAATAAGTCCCTCATGGATTTTAGCGGGTCACAGTAAAACGGTAAAATCATAATGCATTCTCATACACCCATCTCTCTCACAAATACATATGCAAGGTTTTCATGCGCGGACGTTGTTCCATATGTTTTTTGCCTCAACGCCATGAAAGCTTTCTCGACAACGTATGAGCCTTCTCTTCCATATGTATATTTGTCAATGTCAGTATGACAATTTGCTTGTCGTGGAGGTGTGATTTGTAATTGGTCTTCAATATAAAACATAGGAGAGGCTGAAGATATAACTTCAACGTCGACAGTCTGTATTAGAAGTATTTTCGGAAAGGAAGTGAAAACAACGGTTTTCTATAACACGTGTGCGTACACGACCGAGTAGCAGCTGCGTACCATTAGTTAATATGTTTGCTTATTTCGTATGACATTGTCGGGTAACCGCTAAAAAGCCGTGAAAAGAAGTATAGTTTGATCCACTACTGTACGAGGGATGTCTTTTAAGTTTTGCATATAGAAACATAGTAGGCCGCGCGGATCGAACGTCAGTACTGAATCTTAACCTCACTCTTTAGTAAACTTAAATTCAAAGTTTCGCAACAATACGTGCAGTTTTCTCACTACAGTGAATTTTTAAGTGTCACCAAGTCATTAGAAAAATGGAACTCAACCGAGAACATTTTCGCGCCATAATTTATTACAACTTTCCGAGACAATTATCGCAACAAGAATGCCTTGCTGAGTTACTGTCTGTTTTCGGCAACGAAGCGCCACATCAGTCGACAATTTCCCGTTGGTATGGAGAATTCAAACGTGGATGGGCGAGTCTTAGCGACGATCCCAGGGTTGGTCGATGCTGTGCGCAAACTCATCCTTGAAGATAGACATGTGACATATCGCGAGATTGAGGCGTCCTTGAAGATCTCAAAGATCTCAATTCAAAAAAATTTACATGAAGAATTAGGAGTAAGAAAATTAGTTTCTCGTTGGACTGAAGAGCAGAAGGCAGCCAGGGTTAATTGGTGTCAAAAACCGCTTGACCGTTTCAATTGGAAAAAGTGCAGTGAGCATTTTTCGTGGCATACTATACAGTAAGCACAATACTGAAATATTTTCAACGATCCCATATAGTCAGCAAGCGTGTACAAGAAATTTTCGATCCGATGAGTTTATGATAAAACATACCTCTGTGGCAATAATCTATCATTGGCCAGAAATCCAGGTTTGTGTAGATCCTTGTTGTAGTCCCCATATCTGGCTTGCACTGCATAGGACGCTAGTAGTACGGATGTTTCTGACGGACAGTATATCTCATCTGAGAGGATAGCGTTCTTCACTTGGAGATAGAACAGACGTAGTGTAATATCCTGAATAAGTTCTTCGGCCACGTCCTCTGGGTAGAACTTTGCACGGAACTTGAACTGTAGAGGGTTCTCTTTTTTAACGTCTTGGCTGCTAACCTGTAAAAACATAAATGTGAGACAACACAGATATAGTCAACGCCAAACAAAGTGGCGTGCACGTCATCAAGGTGGGTGTGTTGAAAAATTTACATTGTTGCCAAACTTTTTGTAAAATAATAAAATTTATTATTTACATATCTAGGTTTATAAGCAATATTAACCTCAAATGAGAACAAAAATAATAGTATAATAAAATTATAGATCTGTACTTGCATAATCATTAAGTATGACAATTATTGATCAGATGACACTATGAAACTACCATATTTAATTGATAGCTTAAAGGTACTGAATAAAAATCCAAATGGGGTCCTCCAAATTTTATGCATGGTATTTATTTTACAGAATTCATACAGAAAAATGCATTCTAAAATTAGGTAAGCTACTGGTGTAAGCTTTTTCTGTACAATAAAGTTAGTCGGAGTTTCTTTCTTCAGCGCTGTCTGAATCTGAATCTTCATCACTCTCAAAGTTGATTATTAAAGGTTCGATGTCTGGTCGATCAAAAATTCGTTCTCTTTCATACCATTTAAAAATTTCTTGCTCAGTATGTCGAACACTATTTTTCCACATGTCTGGGGTAACCGTTTGTAGAGCCTCGTTCCACATATCCAAACAGTCTTTTTCACTGTTACCATCTCTACCAATATGTCTGTTATAGTAACCTTTTGCTATGCCCCAAATTAACTCAATAGGGTTAAATATACAATGGTAAGGAGGCAGACGAAGAACTTTGTGCCCATGTTGTTCCGCCAATTCATCAATCACGTATATTTTAGGTGGTTTGTTTCTAAAAAAGCAGTTATTTTAAGAATAGGAATAAACAAAAGAAATATAAACTGTCGACCAAAATATATATAATTAAGAAGCATTATGTACCGAGCAACAATACTCAATAGCTCTGTTTTAAACATTGTGTTTAAAAATGGTATGTTTTGATTTGTCAACCAGTCTTGGATATTTTTTTTTGTCCATGCATTGTTGGGCACTTTGTTCAATATCATGCTGTGATAAGGGGCGTTATCCAGTATAATCATAGATGGACTCTCCAATTTTTCTAATAACTGATGTTGAAACCATTTCAAAAAATTGTCCTGGTTCATCTCTCCATGGTAATCGCTCAATTTTGTTTTCGAAGAAAATATCGCTTCACTACCCTCAATAAACCCATTTTCATTTCCAGCATGTAATATAATGTATCTAAAATATATTAGTTTTAAATTTTATAGTGCAAATTGTGTAAAAGTACATACCTTTTACCATCTGTTTTAATAGCTTTCACGCTTTTTTGGTTTCCATTTTGCCAAGAGCGACCTATGGTCCCATTTTGAAATATCCAAGTTTCATCGAGGAAGACAAACTGGTATAAGGCCTCAACCTTGGCTTGATTGTATTGCCTTAGAAATTCCACCCTTTTCAAAGCTATACTTGGTAGTTCCATGAGCCCTCGTCGCGGATTGTCCTTAAGCCACTTAAATCCAAGATCTCTAAGCAACCGCCTTAAAGACGTGGCACTACCATCAAATAATGCCCTATCTCTTAATCGAGACTATAAAGTTTGTATCGTAACTTGTTCTTCTGAAACCATGTGTAATATCACATTATAATTTAGTTAACAAATTAATGCAAATTTCTGATAAGTTATTATAATAAGATCTTACTTTTGTGATACATATTATAGATCACTTCTCGAATGGCACTTGTATCCAATGTCGCTGTGTTGGTTACACGTTTAATATAACTCCGCTTTTTCTTGGGCGATTCTAAATTTGCATCACTTTTCACACCCTCGGAAATACGACTAACTGTCCTTAAACTAATTTTTAAAGCAGCAGCAACACGCTACAGAAAATGAAATAAAATTTCACTATTATTAATATACATTACATATAATTATTAGTAACCTACCTCTTGAACAGCATTTAAAGGCAACAAAGGCCCGTTGTTGTCCCTTTCTTGCTCAAAGTAGTGCATTAACGAGGCCACGAGTTCCTTACACCGACTATTTAACTGTTTGGGCATCTTTATATACCAAAATTGCCTTTATCTACTCGTAAAATGAATAATTTTGTTTTGAAACAAACAGTTGTTGATTTACAGTATGCGGGGCCAAAGGATTTATAAAGATTTGAAATGCCACAAATTGATTCAGTGTCAAAATTAATACAAATGTCAGTTCCCAGTTTAAATAAGTTTCAAGGTGACAATGTGTCAACGCTGCGAAATTGGTTTAGTGCGTTTACATGTCGATAAGTGATTGGAGCGTTTGCAAAACATTTTATTTCGCATAATGCGTCTAAATTTATCAGAAAGCAACTTATGTGATATTTTAATAACAATGTTTATATGACTATTAACCATAATAAGAGGAGTAATGACCATTTTACAATTTATATATCACATTAATATGAAACTGCAATAGAGCAATTGTTTGTGATAGAAACCTAGGCATTAGGTCGGGGAATTTTTATCGTGATGACGTGCACGCCACTTTGTTTGGCGTTGACTATAGACTTACGACGGTTGTTTGATAAAAATCAGTGATTTACGGTTTGTTCGTTCTACGAACGTGTAGGTAGGTACACTTTCTTGATCCAATAAAGTCACAGAGAATCAGTCATAGTGAACAAAATATAGATACATAATTTCGGCTTCAACAAAGTAACAGCTCTAAGACTGAATACCAAAGAAATACGAAGAGTGGATGGACATTTTGCTCACAGGACACCTACCGGAAAGAGAGTTGAGTATATCAAACTCACTGTGCAAGAGGAGACGTAGGAGGATAATAAATACCCATTGATAGAACTGATAAGTCTAAGACTTCGAAAAAATATAATAATAATAATAAACACCTTTATTTATAATGATACAAGTTTGGCCTCGGCTATTCTTCCACTTAACCCTGATGTAACATTGGATACTAGAGATTTATATACATTACATACATATACTGTGAGTGTCAGAAAAAGATGAACACCTACGTATGTTTATTAAAATTCAATAATAATTTTTTACATATCGACTTTTCTTGCCATCAACAACAAGTGATAGAATAGCCAGATTTTTCTGTTAATTTTTTGTGGTGACTGTGTGTATTGTTTGGTGATAAAGAAGCATTCAGTTTTCATACATTTACTGTGTCAGTTGAATTTTAAGTTTCGTGTAGCTTATTGAGAAGCCTTTTTGCGATTGCTCAAAATGCCTAGAGTGCGTAGAAATCGCCGGGTGTCCCAGCTAAGTGACTTTGAGGGGGGTCGACTTGTCGGGTTGCGTGAAGCCGGTCTATCGATAAGAGAAGTTTCTAGGAGGACCGATAGATCCTTACGCAGTATACTGCAGTGTGAACGAGCGTGGACTCAAGAAGGCCGAGGACAGCGAGCGAGGGGTTCTGGACGACCCAGCGGGACCACAGAGCCACAAGACCGCCGGTTAAGACTTCTGGCTCTGAGAGACAGATTCAGTAGTACTCAAGCCATCGCTAGTCAGTGACTTGAAGATCATGGAAGAATGGTTGGTATGCGTACGGTATATCGCCGAATACGACAGTTTGACCTTTTTTCTTATCGCCTACATTGGGTGCTACCTCTCACAGCTGAAGATTGAGAAGACGGCGTGGTGAAAGACGTGACCCACACTGTGGGAGTTATGGTATGTCGTGCTATTGCTTATGGTAGCAGATCACCACTAATTTTCATCAATATGACAGCCCGACGCTATATTCAGGAAGTGGTGGAGCCTCATCTTATTCCATACCTAAACACCATCCAAAACCCGATTTTTCAGCAAGACAATGCCAGACCGCATGTTGCCAGAGCACCGTTAGCCTTCATGGATCAACATCGCAACAACAGTTTACCCTGGCCACCACGATCGCCTGACCTATCTCCAATTGAACATGTCTGGAACATGTTAGGTCGCAGGCTCTTGAATTTGCAACACCCTCCATAGACTTTAGCAGCTCTTACTCACGAAGTTGCAGCAGCCTGGAATGAGATACCCCAACAGGATATCGACCACCTCATCAGCGCGATGCCCAGGCGTGTCATTGAGTGTATAAGAAATTGTGGATCATCAACACATTATTGAAGCAGCTTCTGCAGTCAGTTGACGAATCATGCTGAAAATTTAATCATTTTACTAGTACGGGACACTGAACATATCTGCCAAAAATTATTAAAATCGGACAAACATACGTAGGTGTTTCCCTTTTTTTGTCACTCAGTATACATTCACCAAAAATATTAAAATAAAGCAATGTAAAAGTTCACTTCTAGAAAACATCACAATTACAAATGCAGAAGGTGCAACTTCAAATTCAGTTTAAACTTCTTGAGAGTAAACTTTTCAGGTCGTTTAGGAAATTCCATTTAGAAAAAGATATGTTGTCATGTTTTTGATATAGGATGTTCTCGTTTTATTAGCAATTCGGATAGGTCCTTCCAAAAAAATAAGATTGTTCTACTATACCGTTTTGATGAATGGTTGTTGATTTATAAGCGACTTAGTGTACAAAAAAGGCTCAGCCAGTTCGCCATTTTCAAATTTCCGACTGCAACTTTTACGCTAAAATGTAATATTAATCCAATTTCATCCCCCCGAATTTCAGCTTGCTTACTTGAAGTACTGTATATCTTTCTATGCAAGTATCAGCTTCGGGTCTATGATGAAAGATTGATATTCAATTCTCACACATTTTGCAGCTAATAATATGTTTCATTAAGCCCCTGTATAATTAATACACTGACTCCAGACAACGTTTTACAGTGTTCCGATGCGAACTGGGTTTTTCGCTTGGTTGACTGTTATAATACTCGTTATTAGGAACCCTTCAACCACAAAATATGATTTATGGATATGCACATCCTCGCGTTACGGTTAAAATCCATAGCACTGTTGCAATTTGGCGTCTCCGAGTTGAGAAGCAAATAAAAGTAATAAAGTACTAATGTTTTTCACACATTTGTTGAGCGCACATTTACTCTATATTAGCTTTA